TCACCAGCCTGGTTCCAAAAGATGATGAACGAACTACTAAGCCCATTTCTAGGAAAGTTCTGTAACGTCTATATCGACGAAATAATTGTATATTCAAAGAGTCAAGAAGATCACGGTCGACATCTGGCATCCGTGCTGGAAGCTTTGAAAGGGGCACATCTTAAGATCAATGTAAAAAAGAGTGAATTCTTCCAAGGAAAGGTTGTATTTCTTGGGCGGAACTTTGACGGAAGGTCTAAAACTACCAAGCAAGAATCCGTTGCTCGGATCTCCAGCCTCCGAAAGCCCTTTGACGTCCATTCGCTTAGAGTGTTTCTTGGGCTTGCCGGACATTTCAGGCCTTTCATCCAGGATTTTGCAAAGAAGACAAGGTGCCTTACGCGACTACCGCAGCATGATGTACCATTCGAATGGTCCAACGAGTGTGAAGAATCGTACCAGCATCTAGTGCAAGCGATTTCTTCTGATCCTGTATTGATTTTACCCGATTTTGACCTGCCTTTTGAACTGAACACGGATGCATCCCACTATGGTACAGATGCTGTTCTGTATCAACGTAATCCGACAAAGCCAACATCTCAACAGCTCTCTGTCATAGACTCATATACTTTTTCTAAGCCTGAAGTGAATTACACAACAGCAGAAAAAGAAGCCCTAGCTCTTCTTAAGGCCGTGCGATACTTCCGCTCGTACCTCGAGGGCCACAAGTTCAAATTCTTCACGGATCACCAAGCATTAGCGTTCCTCCTATGCATGACTGAACCGAAAGGAAAAACAGCTAGGTGGATAAACGAACTCCTACAATTCGAGTTTGAAGTATTTCATCGGCCAGAAGTTCACCTTAAAGATGCAGATGCATTGTCTCGTCTGTCGATTTCCGAGATGAGGCATGAAACGGAGGAGGTCTTCTACACTCGACTGTGGGAGGGAACCGAAGATCTAACTTTCAGCGATGGCAAGTTTCAAGTTCCAGTCATGGCTGTGAGTTCCATTCTCAGGCTATACCATGATAGTCCAGAATCAGGCGGCTATGATGGACTTTGGAAGACGTATAGTAAACTGGCTCACCGATTCTGCTGGCCTAGAATGAAGCAAGATATCTACCAGTATGTGCGTTCGTGTCACGAATGCCAGATGAACAAAGCCAAGCAGAAGCAACGATTCAATGAGATGACTTTGCCAATTCACTCGGATGTCCCATTCGAAGTAGTTCATCTGGATTTCGCCGAATTAAGAAAGAGGGGTGATGGAGTGGCTAGAACCCAAGCTTTTCTTATAGCCGTAGACGAGTGTACGCGCATCGCTGCCTCACGAGCAGGAAAAGAAAACGCAAGCAGCGTCATCTCAATGCTAGAAAGGTACATGTTTAAGAACACCAAGGTGATTGTTTCGGACAATGGTCCTGCGTTCCGGAGTAAAAAACTGGAGCAATGGGCAAGATCCAGGGGAATCGAACTGCGCTTTGCTGCCCCATATCACCCGGAAGCGAATGGCCTCGCAGAACGACTGATTCGAGACTTGAAGCAGTACTTGTTTATGTACCCGAACTTCGTCGGCGGTTAGAAGTGTGCCCTTGAGGCAGCAGTGGCCCATCATAACCGCTCACATACTACAGCCCTAGGCTGTAGTCCCAACTACGCGGCCTTCGGACTTGCACCTTACTTGCCGGCAGATGTACAACTTGGCATCAAAGATGATTTAGTGCTGACAGAAGAAAAGAAGACCTATAAACAGCAAGAGCTCTATAGGAAAAGAATGAAGAAAAACTTTGACAAAAGATTTCGTTCAGTCCCTAACATTCAAGTGGGCGATTTTGTCATTGTTAGGAAAAGCATTCATGGAACACACACAAAGTTTTCCGGGCCCTACCAAGTGACGAAAACAGCTACCAGGCAAGGTATTCTAAAAATCATATGGTATACCTCTTAAACAAATGTCACTGAATGCGCCACCATCGGAAATGTGTTTCCATATCATCCCAGGAGGAATGAGTAAAAAAAGGTTGGTATAATGTGACAGCTAGATGATGGACATAGAAAAAGAAACCAGGCAGAGCAGGGATAGAAGAAGAAGAAAAGAGGGAATCATAGAAGTGACGGATGGAGTAAAGCACTATTTCGTAAGCTATCTCGAATTGTATTTGTAGAACGTTACATTCCTCCTGGGATGATTAGGAGTCACAATAAATCAATTGGATGAATAAGTAACAAAAGCAGTCATCGCAATGTAAATTAGGCCGATTTGAAGGTAATTGGCTTAAAAGTTACTCGAAGTAATTAAAGTAGTAATAATAATATTGATCTCGTAATAGATAAATGAGTGGCATTGTAACTCGACGTAACCAAGAGAGTCCCCAAAATGTCAATTAGACTGATCTAAAGTCCGTTGTGTTAATAGTAACTCAAAGTGGTCAGAAGAGTAATCGTAATGTCGATTGAGCTCATAATGATTCATTTGGTTGAATATTAGCGTAAAGTAATCAAAAGAGTCATCATAATGCAAATTAAGCCGAATAAAAGTCTTTTGCTTCAAAAGTAACTCGAAGTAGTTAAAAGAGTAAAAATAATAATGTTAATGGAGCTCATAATAGATTAACTGGTTGCATAATAACTACTAAGTAATTTAGAAAGACACCACAATGTCAATTAGGCTGACATAAAGTCTGTTGAGTAAATAGTAACTCGAAGTAATCAAAAGAGTAATCATAATAAGACTCGTGCTCATACTAAATAAGTTACTTTATTATTTGCTCAAAGTAATGTCGAAAGTAACCATGATGTCAATTATGCTGAATCAAGCTCCATTGAGCCAATAGTAAGTCGAAGGAATCAAAAGAGTGATCCTAATGGTAACTGAGCTGATAATAAATAAGTTGGTTGGATAAAAAGTCAAAGTAATAATGAGAGTGAGAATTATGTCAATTAGACCAATAGAAAGTAAAATAAGTCACTTGTTCCTCAAGGTAATTAAGATGTCAATAATGATAATAAAAACTCAGTTGTGCCACTAATACATCGGGGAAATATGAAAAGTAACCACTAACTTTATTGAGTTAGTTTAAGTTCAATGGGTGAATAGTAACACGGATTAATCAAAGAAGTAATCCAAATCTCAGTTGCACTTATATGAAGTTGCCTTCGTCAACAATAATTCAAAGTAATCGACTGACTAACGAAAATTTTACTTCTATAGAGTTGTTTGTGTCAATAATAGCTATATAACCAAGAAGTAATAAGAATGTCTAATGAACTTCTACGAAGTTATATTTTTGTCAATAATTCCTCGAACTTAGAGTAATAAAAATGTGTTGATCTATTATTATGTAAATTGTGTTATTCATATGCCTAAGTAATTAGAAGTCAAATCCATTTCAAGCCAGCGGTGTCAGTAATAGCGAGCAGCAATAAAAGGAGTAATCACAATTGTTTTTGTACTTATACCATATGAACTGTATCAATAGTAAGTCGAAGTAATGAAAAAGAGTAAAGAAAACGTCAATTCAGCTAAAATGAAGTCAAGTGTGCCACTAATAACTCGAGATTACCAAAAGTGTAATCAACATGTCAATCGTTGACTAGTGACTCTAAGTGATCGAAATAGTGATCAACGTGTCAATGGTCCCAAACAAAATCAAATCGTATAAACAATTACTCTAATTTATCAAAAGTGTAAACGAAACATGGTACCACTGAAGACAAAAACGTAAAGGCTGTCCCCCAAAAAAAACAAATTCAAGGTTTCTTTTTACTTTTTTTTTTGTTTTTTTTTTTTCGCCGCAAAAATAAACTACGCATTTCCGAACGCTGATTTTCCGCCCAAAGGAAGCGGTAGAGGTGCAAACCAGATGCCCAATTTTCAGTCCGAACCAATATCTTATTCAAAAGTTTAAAGTGATTTTCTGGAAATTTAAATAGGAAAATGGCGGCAGACCGAGCTCTCAAATACATGGAGCTCTAGGGCGCCAGAAACCAACAACGGACGAAAATGGGCCCCATTTTCCCATTGAAATTTTCAACAAAAAAAAATCATTTATAACTTTTGAATAAGATATTGGTTCACGCTGAAACTTTGGCATCTGGTTCGAACCTCTATACTTTGTTTTACCTTGTGTCGTACCGCAGGAAAGGCTGCAAGCGCGAGCTCCTTGCTCTAGGGCACATCTCGGCGGCACAAGCTCTCGTGCACCAAGGGCAGCTGCCAACGCTATGAGCTCGCGCTTCTAGCCTTCGCTGCGGTACAACATAAGGTGAAACGAAGTGTAGCGTTACCTTTGGGCGGAGAATGAGCGTTCGGGAACGCGTTGTTTATTTTCGCGGTGACGAAAAGACCCTGTAAATTTATTTTGGAGGCACCCTGTATATATTGCGCATTAAATTGACTGACCTTGGGATTACATTGGGTAGCGCTGAGACTAAATTGAATGGCACTTGATTTAAATGGAATAGCACTTGGATTAAATTGACCACGATTTGGAATAAAATGAGCGGGAAAACCTCTAAATGACACTTGACCATAGTATATAGTAAAGTCCCTGAATGAAATTCACACTTCGTGTTTCTCGAGAGTACCGACAACCATTGTTGTCCGAACGCGCGAGACGCGTGCCGCGAGCGAGTGCTCCTCCGCCATTTGCTGCCAAACGTCGCTCATATCAGTCCTGCCCAGCCATTTGGTTCCAAGGACCACCCGAGGCACAGGCCTCGAACATTGCCGCATTTTGAAGCTACATGCAAGACAAACACAATCACACCAAGGGGTCATGTTCTATGGTACTCCACTCTATAGAATACACAGTTTTCAGCCGCGGCCTCTAGGTGGCGCTTCAAATGACGGGGGGCTACGGGTGGCGGACTTGAGGGCGATGGGTGGTTACCCCCTTCTGCAGGAGTTCTACAACTGAGTTTATGTATTAACGTTGGTGCCGACGGGAAGTGACGCGCGACGCATGCCCCGGGCATGCTTACAATGTACAACAACGAATGGGAGCACTCTGGTTGCAGGCGGTGGACGCACCATGACGCCACCTGCCTGTACATGCTGTTCGAGTACGTGTCCGGCGGCGAGCTGTTCACGTACCTGCGCAACGCGGGCCGGTTCAGCTCAGCCACGGGGTGCTTCTACGCTGCCGAGATCGTGCTGGCCCTCGAGTACCTGCACAGTCTGCACATCGTGTACCGGGACCTCAAGCCGGAGAACCTGCTCCTGGACAGGGAAGGGCACCTCAAGATCACAGACTTTGGCTTCGCCAAGAAGCTGCACGACAGGTGAGTCGCCGGTGGCGTCTGCGAGCACGAAACTGCACGGCAGGTTTTATTAATGACCATCTATTTCTATGGGTGGCTACAGTGAATCTTAAGCTATAAAACGAGCCGAAAAAATTGATGCCTGAACATAGAAAACTCAGCTTTTTACTGAATCTGCGTTCAGGTGGGCGGTTTTACGTTGTGGAATTTTAAAGCGCAGTTTTCTTCTTGTAAAAAAAGATTAGGCCAACAAACTGGCCAAATTCAACGTCAGACGTGTTCCCAGACCACTGAGTAGACGATAAATGTAATTTATTACGCTATCTCTCGCGACGGATGACGTGTAGCAGACAACAGAGTGCTCCGTCTCTTCGCTGCGCGAAGACGTCCGTCGTTGACTTAGCAAATTTGTTGGTCTAATTTTTTACAGGAAGAGAACTACGCACTGACATTTTACAAAGTAAGATCGTCCATCTTATTGCATATTCTAGGAAATTTTGAACATTCAATGTGCAACCGCAGATTTTTCTGGGTCATTTCACAGTATAAGTTCCACTGTAGCCACTTTATATTTAAAATTGTAAGGCACAGAGTGGTTGTGCGTTTGCAGACACGCGAAAGGGCAAAAAAGAATGAGATTCCTAGCACTATTTTTCATCCATGCTTTTTGTATTACACGTAGTACCAGGTGTCCCAAGTAGCGGCCAGGCTCTTTAAATCGACCGCAAAATTTGGTTTCCTAGCATATCGCGCTACGATGTTGTGTAGCGTTGCCCACAGATGGTGCATTATTTTTGGAAAATTTGCAAAGAGCGAACTTGCCCGAGGAAAAAGTAAAGAAAGAAAAAGGCTTAGCTCCTATGGAAATGCAGCGAAGCCACCGGCCTTCAAACAGTACGGCGCCGTCTCGCATGGGAGACAAGAGGTGGCGCAAGCGGTCGCGACGCCAACTGCTGCCAACGAACGAGCATACGGCGCCGAGAGCTGGTGTCTTTAGCAGACGAGCTTTTCGACTCAGAAGTGGCGTGATCTTTTCTGATATCGGTTGCCAACGCATTATTTCATCATCCTTACTAAAAACACATTCAATGGACACATAATCGATTAAAAAATGCTTTGTCGGGTTATTTTGACTGTATTTTTCGTGGTACCTATGTCGTCTGCTTTGCAGTTCATTGTTGTTACCGCGCCTGTTTTTGTTTCTGCGACTGTCGCCGCCTGCGGAGCGCGCGCCGCTTTTGAGTCCAAAAGACCGTCTGTTAAAGACGCCGGCTTTCGGCGCCGTATGCTCGTTCGTTGGCGTTCGTTGGCAGCAGTTGGCGTCGAGACCGCTTGCGTTATCTCTTGTCTCCCGTGCGGAACGGCGTCGTATTGTTTGAAGACCGGTGCCTTTGCTGCGTTTCCATAGGAGCCAAGCCTCTTTCTTTCTTTACTTATTCCTCAGGTAAGTTCGCTTTTTTCAAATTTTCCAAAAATAATGCACCATCTGTGGGCAACGCTGCACAAAATCGTAGCGCGATATGCTAAGAAACCGAATTTTGCGCTCGATTTAAAGAGCCTTGCCGCTACTTGAAACACCCGGTATTTCTGAGTAGTGAAGCATCTGGTTACTTCTTATGTGTGTTTTTATTGTTTCTAAACCAGCCAGGACTTATTTGAATGTGGCCTCCCTCGGGCCATAGTCATTTCATCCATCTGCTAAGAAAGGGCCGGTCGTGTCGCCACCTCCAATTTTCCTCCGATTTCTTTTGCAGATAAACATTATAGTTTCCTTTTTATAATCTCGAAAGTAAAAGCCCGTGCATCATCTTTAAAAGAAAAAAGAGGACCAAGTTCAAATTCGAGCATAGCTATCTACAGAAGAACTCAGCAAATTGCATGACTAGCACCATGCTGAGACCCTAAGATCTGTCCTCTAAAATTGAGCGTGTCGTTGTATGTAATCCTGAATGTGGGAAAATGAAATCAGGGTTCATACATAATATTTCCTTCACCATTCACTCTTTTTTTTTACTATAAATAGGAATGATTAATGCTTCGATTATTTTGTGGAAATAGCCTAGGCGTGGGAGCGGTTTTGGTATGCGGGAAAAAGTCAAGTTGTATTGTAAGCAAATAGGTGTAGTAATGTTATATTACTTATTCTATGTAACCTTCTAACACATTGGACACTGAGTCTTTTTTTATGTGTCCTCTCGTGCTTGCGCTGCTATTAGTATGATTCGCCAAGTAGGCCCTGCAGTCCTTTTGATCTGCCATTACGGTCATTTCTCGTTAATACAGACACCTACGCCCCCCGCCCCCCCCCCCCCCCCCCCCACCCCCCCCAAAAAAAAAAATAATCGTCCGCTATATGAGTTGTTTATAATATAACGAGTCAGAAACGCTCCTCTTCATAACCTCACAGTCCCCGGAAATGTGGTCTATAAAGCGGAGTCTCCCTATTAACCATGACACGACTGTCGTCCCTCAGGACGTGGACGCTGTGCGGCACTCCCGAGTACCTTGCCCCGGAGATCATCCAGAGCAAGGGCCACAATCGAGCCGTCGACTGGTGGGCGCTCGGGGTGCTCGTCTACGAGATGCTCGCAGGGTCAGTATCCTCACGCTCACCGACTCAACCCTATGACGACGCGCCAGCGTGGTGGCGCTGCTGTCGGCAGCGCGCATGGGCAGATAGATGCTTCATATCTCGTTAATCGGATTTCTGCGCACATTGCCCACGCCCCACGCGAGTCACCGGTGATGTGATTGCTGCGCAAATTGCGCCACTGCGCCAAAGGGCTTCCCTTGCTACGTCCTGCTACAATCAGCCCAAATGAGAGGAACTTGCGCCAACACTGCCCAAGAACTTAATTTTTTTTGTATATACTAAAAAATAAAACGGCTTAGGCCCCGCTACACTTCCGGATCGTTATGGTAGGCTCGTGCGAATGTTCGGAACATTCACTCTTACCCGCAAATAACGTACTGTCCTATTTGGTGTCTATCTAACGGTATCAAACGCTGACAGTACTCGGAAGTTTTGTAATATTTCTTGAGTTTCTAGTCTGCTCTGGCGTGTAAGTTAGCTTTGTTGAGTGCGTTTCCCATTGCGCGGTTGTGTACTGCAGTGAAGTGGTAACCGCAAAATAAGCACGCAGTTTTAATTATCTCGCTTCGCTGCAGTGCATTCCAGTGCTAGAGAGAAAGCACTCTCCCAGAGTGGGACGTTAAGCACGCACCCGTCAAGTATGTTAAAAAAAAAAAAAAAAAGCTTTATGAGTTGTAATGTAACAACCCTTAGTTGCAGTAAGAAATTCTTAATTATACTGTGACTATTATTAACGATAGACTACGGTATTCTAGCGATATCTTTTCATATTCGTGATTCAGCGGGGTACTCTCAAGAAAATTTATAGGAATTGCTCTATAGGTTTTAGTTTAATTGGAACTCCGTTGTTTAGTTGTCACCTTTATATATGTTTTATCCCTTCGAGGTAGTCAATAAAATAAACTAAAAATAAATTAGTGAGCAGTAGAAGGAAGCTTGAGTATAACCTGAACAACATTGGCTGGTATATTTTAAGAAAGCATTGTTATCGTTCACATGCCGATTTCTGTTATTATGAGGTTCTACATACAGAATGTCATTAATTTTCATAACTTAATTACGAACTTTTTTTATATTGAATTAAGAATTTTTTTTATTACAACCTTTAGAACTTGAATTAACCATCAACTTTTTTGTGCTCAAAATTACTCTAACATTATCTGATTGGAGTATACTATTTTGTTTACATTTTATTTTGTGCCTAAAATGACCATTCACAGCAGTCGATACTGTCCTTCATCGACCAGCACCTTGTTGACACGCAAAGTACTTCCATGTGTAACTAAACAGCTAATCTTGCCTTTAAAAAAACAACAAAAAAATAACCTGTTTTCTCACAGAAGTGTGAAGGCAAAGCATGGGCTTATTTATAGTTGGATAGGCCACCACCCGAACCTTAACATATAATATTCACAGCGGCACGCACAAAAATGAAGTGTGTGTTTGTGCTCCGAGAGTACTTTTGCTGCACTCTAAAAAACGTTTGTGCGTCTACACTCTAAAAAACGTCTGTGCGTCTACTTTCACGCACAACACTCAGAGAGCCAAACAGCGCAACTTACGGAGGCAGCTCAGCGAATGACGATGCCCAAACATATGTTTAGACCAAAAAACGCAGTCTGAGTTGTGACATTAAGCAATGCAAAACGTCAGGCTTGCATTGTTTAATGTCACAACTCAGGCTGCGTTTTTTGGTCGAAACGTATGTTTCGGCATCGTCATTCACTAAGCTGCCCCCATAAGTTGCGCTTATTGGTTCTCCGAGTATTGTGCGTGAAAGCAGACGCACAGACTTTTTTTAGAGTGTACTTTCACGCACAACTCTCGGAGAGCCAATCAGCGCAACTTACGGAGGCAGCTCAGCGAATGACGATGCCAAAACATATGTTTAGACCAAAAAACGCAGTCTGAGTTGTGACATTAAGCAATGCAAAATGTCACGCTTGCATTGCTTAATGTCACAACTCAGACTGCGTTTTTTGGTCTAAACATATGCTTCGGCATTGTCATTCGCTGAGCTGCCTCCGTAAGTTGCGGTGATTGGCTCTGCGAGTGCTGTGCGGGAAAGCAGATGCACGGGCTTTTTTTAGAGTGCTATAATTTACTTTTTGGCTGTTCCAAAAGGTGTTACCAAATGATTCTGGTCAATCGCATCACTGCGAGTCCCGGAGGCATTTTATTATCGCTGGGAGCCAATGAGAATGCAGCATTTGCCGATAAAAATACCGAAGAGCCAATCACAAAGCAAGAAGCGTGAAGCCACGCCTTGCGTTTCTTAGGCCGTCGGTGACTATTGTTTCTTTCATTTTGTTATTTTCTGGGGATTTTCTTTCGTGCAAATCGCGATTTGGTATAATACCTTCGCTTCAAACACTTGCTCCAAACCTGTATTAGGTGAAAAGCAGCTCAAAGAGTAAAAGGAAAAGAGTGTCGCGCTTTTTTATGTCATGGTGTCCGAGCTTTAAGGCGTCGCCTAATTTCTAATATCACGTGAGATTAGGAATTAATACACGTGTTATTAATTTACGGCTTCTATTGCAATATCGGTGCTTATCGACACCAAAATAGGTGATAACACGAGTGAAGATTGACCCATTCACAATATCCTGCGCTTAAGTGAAGGGGGCAGCCTGGAAGGCGCTGCTTATACTGATATTGCCGATCGCCCGTCACCGCCACTGCAAGCAGCGAGATGATTGGTATTTGCCACACCCAATTTAGTCTGTTGGTCACTGTGGAATATTTTGATAACTGCTATTGTCGATAGACGTTTGCTCCGCCTACAGTGTGAGCTTTCTATTTTAGGTAACGCTTAGTCACCCGCCCAGCCAAAGCCCAGAGGAAAGCAACGAGCACGTGCAGGAGGCGGAGCTGGGTTTTTTAACCTGTCACCAATCATAAGTGTCGCAAAGAATCAAAACGCCAGTGTCAAAAAGTGAATTATTGTGCCGTTCATGTTGTCTATCAGTACGCGACACTTTTATAAAGCGTCGCACTTCTCCTTTTTATTCGCTTAAATGCGCCGTTTGTTTCGTTGCCGTTTCATGCGCAGGTATCCACCGTACTTCGATGACAACCCTTTCGCCATCTACGAGAAGATTTTGGCGGGAAAAGTGGAATGGCCAAGGCATATCGATCCCGTGGCCAAGTGAGTTGCTTGTTTTCCTCTAATTCTCTTCTTTTTTTTTTTTTTTCTTAGCCCCCAGCTCCTTGTGGTAAAAGTTGACTTGTTCCCAATCCTTTTCAGGGACCTCATCAAAAAGCTCCTTGTCAACGATAGGACGAAGCGGCTCGGGAGTATGAAGGTAAAACCTGGTTTCTACATTCTTGCAACTGACACTGGCTTCTAAGTTTGACTCTTATAAAGTTCCTTATTGCACGTTGATAACTACTGTGGCGCCGTCATATTGAAGTTTTTGTATCAAGATAAAGTAACGTCTATTCTTATTTGTAATTCATTCACTCTATGAGGACAAATTCATATTTTATTTGTATCTTATATATTATATGAATTTGTATTTTATATATAAGGACCAATTCTATATTTTCTTCTGCAGAATGGCGCCGAAGACGTGAAGCGTCACCGTTGGTTCAAGGGACTGAACTGGGACGACGTTCTCGAAAAGAAACTGAAGGTGAGAGAATCCTCTCGTGTTAACGAACTTCAGCCTGTCTCTCCCTGATCCAGAAAAAGTAAAACGGCTGTTTTGGTGAGAGTCTTTCTGTCCCCTAACACACTTGCACCTTTCTTCCCGGCTGGGCTTTCTCCCTCTCTCTCTCTCTCCTTCCCTCTTCCCCTTGCTCTGGCTACCCTAGCCCCCGATCGTGCCCAAGGTATCCCACGAGGGTGACACCGGCAACTTCGACGACTACCCCGAGCGTGACGGCCGGAGGCGGCCGCCCTCCACAGCATCGTCCTCTGACAAGGAGGTGGACACCTTCGACGACTTCTGAGTCCCCGGGCCCACGTGGACAAAAGCAGCGAGCCCACGCACCATCGTGCCCGCCGCCGTCCGGATGGTCACGTGCCGCGTCGGACCAATCACCGCGAGCTTATTTTTGAAAATTGCATTTACCGAGATTACGCGCTGCTCCCGTGTGTACGGGGCTTGACCGTCCGCTGCGATCTCTGTGCTTGATTCTTGGGTTTCGGCGCTGTCCCACGTATGGTAGCTTATGCTTCAGCGGCATCCTAAGACGTCTTTCGGTGAACTCTGCTCACAGGGATGAGAAGGAGACCCCATTGAAGGAAGAATTGTGCTTGAACGACATCGTGTACCCGCAAAGAACTGCAACTGTCCGATGGCTCGCAGAGTCCACAGGGACTCAACTCCTGCGATCTGCGGAAGATGTGCAAATGCCTTGATCCAAATATTGTGTATGCGATCTGTGCGGTGTCATTGAGCAATGACGTTACTCATCCTCAGTGAGTTCATCGTTGTACACCTTTAGGTTTGCAGTATCTGGTTCTTGGCCTCGTCATTGGCTGAATTCCTCTGGTAGATTTCAGTGATTGGCTACCTGAGTGAACAAGGGCGTAGTCCTTGGCACGGTGAGAGAACCAGGAACAGAAACGGTTTCACACTGGTGGCTTTCACCTTCGTTCTGTTACTTCTCGAGCGCACTGACGAATAGATTTGTGTTAACCCTCGAAACAGAAGGCGGCTCAGGGTTGACGGAAAAGGAGTTATCTTGTCATGCCTGCGAAAATATTTGGCCAACTATTCCTTTGTTAAAGCTATAGGTCACTTGATTCTCCCCCAGAAGCGCCATACCTGATGTGGCTACCCGATTGGTCCGTCTCGTATTCGTGCTTTGGTTAAATGACACAATTGAAGCGCTTGACCTGGTTTATAAATATATATATATAAAACTGAATAAAATTTAACTTTTTAAAAGTCGTGGATTAAGTTCTACTTAAGAACTCATGAAATGTGAAGTAACGTGCTGGGTCCATCCAAATCTGGCAACCGATATTTGTCATCCACTACACATCATCCGCCAATTTCTTTAGATGCCAGTAGAGGACATGTATGTAGCCCATCGGCGTTCAGAAAATGGGCCGGATGCCTGGAATGTTTTCTGTGTTCGAATAGGAATTGTAAGCGAGAACTAACTCGTTCGAATCTCTACGAGCAGACGGCTGACGACGGGGCCGTGCGCAAACTGCCGAGCGGGAACCGAAAAAGGCGGCCGTCTCCCGATGCTCACATAGAAGTCTAGTCAGACCACTAGTCCTTATAGGTGTTGCGCGCGAAAAAAAAAATCATGATCGTAGAGACTCGCGGTTGGTGAAACAGAATCTCTATTTTTCTGCCAGTGTTACTCTCCAAGAGCACATCGTCGACTTTGTCGAAGCGCGTGTAGACATACAGCGTTACCCTTCCTGTCTTTGACACAAAGTATAGGCTTCCCGGATGTTCGGAAGCAATCGATCTAATAGTGCAGCTATATAGGCCTTTTGTTTATCGGTAGTCTACGTAACCGCTCCGGCCGCTTGCGGGGTTTCACAAAAAATGCCGGGATGCTCTTCTTGGCAAACCCCGAATCGTGAGGCAGCATTGATCGGCTGATGTCAGAAGCAGCTTAGCTGCTTGTGACACTATTTGTAACACAATTTCGCAGCGCTTCGGAAACCTATAGACATTTTCAAGTAGGGCCTCTGGGCGCCCGCCACTTTGCCGCTGGCTTGTTATACGTAGATCGTCTGTTAGTCAAGCTTCACTACAGCGGGCACACGGTTGCCAGATCGGCGCCCAGACAAAAGCACTTTTTATCCAACGATGGGCAAATTAGTTTTTGAAGTGTGACTGCTTGCAAACTTATATACGAGAGCTGATTGAAAAGTAATGAGATTGCTTCTGTTTCTTTATTGTGTTTTTCTTTCTTGCAAGAAGGCAGACGGGCACTGCTGTGATGATTTTTGTAACCGTAGTAAATCCGAATGTTTGAACCTGCAGTTAAAGCAACATAGTCTTTAACGCTCCGTCGCAGCGAGCGAAGGCATGCACTTCGGACATGTCGTCATGACATATGTCGAAGACCTGTAGCAGAGGTGCGTGGTTGAATTTTGCATTAAACTTCGAAGAGTAGTAGCGGCTCTGTAACACTCTTCTATAGTCAGGGTGTATCGCCGTGGAGTCTTTTAAATTTTTTATCATAAAAAAAAAAAAATTAACCTGCACAGAAGAAAGCTTTCCTCGTACGATAAAGAGAGCAAGGTCGCAGCTGGCAACGTTGAAAGTGATGTCTTAAAACATTTTTTTAACATTTCTTTGAGTATTTAAAAACAAAATTCTAACCAATATCTTGAATGTGAGGGTTGCTAATATTAAGAAAAAAAAATGATCAGACTCCAGAGTCTCCCAATTACGAACAAGCAGAATAGGTCCCATTACTTTTCACTCAGCCTTCGTGGCTTTGAAACTGCCAGTATGCACAAACTGCGAATGCGAAATCCTGAAAGACGCGAAGGTGTAGGGAAGAAGAATAGGGTTTCGTGTTACTCCAAAAGAAAAACAAAACAAAAAACAAAACAAAAATGGTGTATTTCGGTTCGAGCAGCGGATTTGCGGGAGGTTCCTCGTGTACAGGTCATACGTCTGATCTAAAGACACCACAAATAGGCTACGCATAGAGTATTGGCACTTATTCCCCATTGTGTAGTGGGCGCAGCCATCTTGGTGCTCAGCACAGATTGGACGCAACCGGTGATCATTATGATTGAAAATGCGGTCTTCGTATCTCTAAATATGCTGTTAGGAAGCCTAGGCTATGGCGTCTTGCTCCGTCGCGAACTGGTTTCGCATTTCTATAGAAAACGAAAGCCCGCGTTTCTCGCCATTTTGAATAAACAACGAGATAAATGGCAGCAGTAATTTTAAGTATCAAGATGGCTGAAGTGTTGTCACTCTGAAGCCCCTATTTAGTGGCTCTATAAAAAGTTTTATCCCAAGAACCGTAGTAAAAAAAAAAAAAAAAAAAAGTCCGGCTTCTTGCGGAGGAATTACTAATTGCTCCCTTTATCTGGATAATGAAGATATGTGTTGGTGCATTTTAGAATAGATATGTGTCATGTTAGCAAAATATAGACCTTTCAAAAGCCAGAAGCAGCGCTTCGTCCTCCGACAGCCAAATCTTGTAAGAACGACTTCTCGGCGCGTTTAAACAATCCGCAAAACATTTTTTTTTCTTGAGGTGACAACGAGTATAGTCCGATCCAAATTCCACAAAGGCGTCATCTTAGATAGCGCTTCTCCGTCAGAGCCAAAGCAGCTTTGGCACCGTAATGTCCGAAATGTCTGAAAAGCTCAACAGCGCAGTTTCTAAGAATACTTCGCGTTTCTCTATAGCCGTGAACAAAGGCATCTGCCCGCAACGTCTTGTGACAGCAAGGCCGCTTAAGTGTGACAGTGTTTTGGGATAGGTTGCCAACAGTAATCACATGTGAGGGGGAGGGAAAGGGGGAGGGGGTGCAAAACAGGCTGTCACAGCCGATCTGCCGCCTCCCAAAAGGAAGACAGGGTGCTTCTAGAGACACTATTTTTCTACGACTGAGTCACCAGACCAGATGCTTGCCAAGCTCAGTCGAGGCATACGAACAAAGAAAAAGAATGGCCGAGGGAAAACAAAAAAGGAATGTGTCTCGGCTTACATTAGAGTCGCTAAATAGCCTACGCATACAGAATAGGCTCTCCATTCTTAGATTACTGTGTGGTCGCCGCGATTTTGGTGCTTTCGGTGGATCGGGTGTAATGGGCCATTTGCAAAGCGTGCAGTGCCGTCCGCGGCGCCGAAAGGAATGCCGGGGGCGCTAGGTACAGCCGGATCTAACGGACGACAAAAGTGACCTTGGAGGCGACGGCCAGCGAGACCAGGGCAGGCGAACAACACCGATATCCTCCCGCTCGCTTCAGTGTCACGTAGTGAACAAGTTGTGGCTGCTGGAAAGAGCGTACGAGGATTCGCGCGCAGCATTTCGGAATTACTGCAAAGAAAGGCCTATTGGGGATTGCTAGGAACCTTGGTTCATGAAATAGCTTAAATCTTACGTGTTTATACCACTCGTAACTTGACTGTGTGCCTGAAGAAATCGGCAAAGCTCAGAGGCGGTCGTTTGGGAGGCATCGTCTTAAAATTGTCATTTTTGAATCTGATCTACCGACAATTTTTAGATTGACAGCCTTGTGAAATGTGTTACGATCAAACACCGAAAACACAAAGGAGACTGTCGACATCCTTAAAATAAATAAGTATAGAATTTACTGCCAGTACATCGTCTGCTGGACATTATCGTTGCAGCAGTACGGTTAGAATAATCTCATCAAATTTATATTCGTTTATCGGGCATTGTATTACGTCTGCATGATAGCCGAATTGAAGGAGGTTTTATATTTTGGGGGTGGGGTTGGAAAAAGTCCTTCGTTATAAGACAATTATGTTTACGTTGAGATACTTTGGGCTCTGTTATAGTTACCTGATTGTTACTTAATGTGACGTTCACTAATGTTTTCATCAACGTTTGGACAAGTGTTATAAAGCTAGAGTTGTTTTTCGTGTTTGTCGCTTGTTTTTATTTTGTCATCACAAATTTGACATACGTGTCTTTAATGCTCGAGATAGCTTACTTCGGTAAAACATCTCATAAATCATACTCATAACTGCTGCCGATCCAACATTTCGGAGCGTCGAAGTAAAATCTGCTTGTGAATGAAGGGCTCGCCCTTCGGGCAGTGGGACTCGTATCGCTTACATTGTGCAGTTTGTGCAAAAGTATATACATACATATATATATATGAGATTGTTGTGTATTTATAAAAAAAGAAAAGACCCATTGCGGGATTTCTTGCTTTCGTCTTTTTTACACGTTGTTAGTTGCATTTTGCTTTAAAGAACAAAACAATGTGATACAAATAAATTTCGGTGAAAAACAAAAAAAACAAACAAAGAAAACAAGAACACCCTCGAGTGTTTGTGTCCTTTTCTGTGTGTCTAAAGTTGTTTTCTCTTCTACTGAGCATGCTGCACCTGCGCATGCGTAACTCTGTCACTCTTCTTCACCTTCACACTAACACAGTGCCCTTTCTATTCCCGGGCCTGAGTAATCCTCGTCCTTCGAAGAGCATGTTGCTCAGCATGTCCTTATTAATTATTACGTACGACCCTGAGTAGAAGACTACTCTACGTTTCCGTCGGCACATACACCGGCCATTGTAGGCTAAGGACAACCAGTAAAATTAACTGTTTTATTTATGTTTCGACAGTCGGAAGTTAGCCAGCCCCAATGGGCGTCTGGCGTCTCGGTTGTAGATGAGAAATTTTGCCGGTGCAGTACCACTGCTGGCCTTGGGTCTTCAACATGCAAAACGCTGTGGTGCAAGAGGATCGCACGCCGGTACGATGTTTATATGGTTCGGAAAGGGCAGGGGTGGGAACTGAAGCAAGGATTCCTGGGTCCTGTAGCGCGAGCTTTCGCTTCCCGCGCTCCGAGCTGTGTTGCGTTAACACACTCAGCCACCGACCCTCAAGGACTGCCAGCCCCCTTTTAAAGTTTGCAGTTCAGTTCAGTTCAGAAAGGGTCTATAGGCCATAGTACAGCGGAAGGGAACAGGGAGAATGTCGGTGACTACGCGGTCTGGACGATGGCACGAACGAAGAGAGGAAAAACCATATAAAGATCTCTAACTTCGCCTCGTAGACAAAATCGAGCAGGATAGTTAGTGCTCTTCTATGGTCGTTCTCGGGCCCAAGCGGATGAGTACACTCTTCCAGGTAGCCGATATCTGTGGTTCGGTGCTTTAATCCCTTGATTTGGGGCACTCCCACAAAATCGGGTGAGTGTCGGCCTTTTTGCCCATGTTACATTTTGAGCAGGTTCCAGACTTGGTTCCTTTGCTCCAAGATGCGAGGCGAGCGGGCGTGAGAGTGGTGTTCGTTCGAATTTTCGGGAAGAGAACTTTGGACCACGGCCGAAACCCCTGGAAATCTACGTTCGGGAGTAGTTTCTATCATGGTTTAGTTCGGTACTTGTCCTCGATCTGGGCCCGTTCTTCGTCCAGATCATATTTCTGAAGGTTGTGGCAGCCTCGATCCTGATCACAAGCGAGGCGTAGCCATGGTCGTGCGTGTGTGAACGGATGTCTGCAGCTTCGCGGAGAGATGAAAGGGACGAGCGAGCTAACTGATGTGCCTCTGGATTACCATGGATGCCTGCATGCGCCGGACGCCAGGAGATTTTGGTGGTCGTTCCCTTCTGCAGGAGTCTGGATGCTAGCTTTTTCATTGCTCGAACTATGCCGCTCGGGCTTCTTGCTTTTATAAACTCCGCGACTGCGTCATGTGAGTCAAAGAAGACTCGGAGCTCGGGAGTTAGTGACATTTCTGAGTTGAGGGCGGTTTTGAGCGCTTGTTGAATCGGGGTATAGTTCGCCCGTTTTGGTGGAAAAATAGGTGGTAATGTCTATATGACATTAACACCTATTTTCGGTAATGTCTATATGATCTCCCAAAGGAGGGAGTTGCTCGGGAATGTCTGAAAGGCCTTCTGTTACGCGCCACAGAAGTTTGTGGATTCCCCTTCCTTGCTTGGAGTGCATGGTTCAAATCGCTAAAATAGACGTACACAAGAGAGAAGACAAACACGGGTTGAAGGGCGTGTATCCCGGCACATCCGTAGTCTAGGTGACGATGGTTGTGTTAGGGTATATACATATGTACTTCATTCCTTTTTTTCAAAATACAGTTGCCAGTAGCCATCGTGTTTATCTTCCCTCTTGTGTACGTCTTTTTAGCGCTTTTAACCATGGTTCAAAACTATCATGGAGTGCGTTTATCTGCGCGTGCTCCCTCAGTTTCCCGAGCGGGGTGAACATAGGAAGACCCGTTATGATCCTTATGGCTTGGTTCTTCAGGCACTCCAGTTTTTGCCAGTGTGCCTTGGTGACCCAGTTGTGTCTGGCTTCGTAGCAGACTCGTGAGACTATACTATAATGCCTTTACAATTTGTCTGGCGATCTCATCGATTGCACGGCGCTTGGCACTACATATTCTTCTGATGGCATTGAGGGCAGGGTTGCAGTGCTGTAGTATGCACGACGCCGGATGTCCCCCTTTCCTGTCTTCTCCATGGTAAGCCCGAGGATCCTGACACACGTAAATTGTTGAATATCTTGCTTGGGAGCACGAGATGGAGATGGCTACCAAGGTTCGATACTCGCTGTCGTTTGGGTGCTACGACGACGTAGTTTGTTTTCTCCGGAGAGGATTGGAGGCCGACATGGTGGAGATGGGCTTCGATCGTGTCAAGGCAGGCTTGCAGTATGATTTTTTGCCTTTCGATGTATTCGCTTTTGGTCCAGATGGATACGTCATCGGCGTATATCGTGAAGCCTAGCCTGGGAATTTTCCCGAGTTTGTGAGGTAGGGCCGCCATCGCGATGTTGAAAAGCATCGGCGAGAAAACGGAGCCGTGTGAGACACCACCGAGGTTCGCCTTGGTTTTACTGCAGTGGACCCCGCAACGTACCAAAAGGGTTCTGCCTTCGAGGAAAGACCTAATAAAGTTTAAGGGATCTTCCAGGAATGCCTATGCGCTGCGATTCCCGTATGATTGTCGAGTGTGGGACAGAATCGAAAGCTTTCTTGACGTCGGCTGTGATTATAGTTCTGATTGTAGAGTGGTTAGGGTTGATGTTACGAATTATGTCCGCTAATAAGAGTGCTAGGCTTTCATTGGTGCCGAGGCCGGGTCGAAACCCCGTTTGGGCTGGGTAGAAAGCTCTGTTGGATTCGAGTAAACATTCTAGCCTTGCAAGTGCCTTGCGTTCCGTTATCTTGCAGGTGCATGACGTGAGGGATATAGGTCAGTATTTGGTGAGGTACCTTTGTTCTTTCCCGGCTTGGGGATTGGGATTACGATAGAGTGCTTCCAGCTTTCGGGGGGCCTACCGGTTTCCTAGATCTCGTTAAGCCAGTTCAGAAGCTAGGACTTGGTGAGATCGGAAAGGTTCTTGAGCGTTGTGATGGTGATCCTGTCGGGTCCGGGGCTGTGTGGGCCTTTGCGCGAAGGAGAGCGTTTTCGAGCTCGCTTCACGTGAAGGGCCGGTTCATGCCAAAATCCGGAGCCACGAGTTCGTGGTCGTACGGTGGAGGGCAATTCGAAAGAGTGGGCTGCGGAAAGAAAAGGTCTCCAGCCATTCCTGCGAGTTGTTCCTCCGTCTTGCTGAGCTTGAAGGCAAGCGTTAGTGTTACCCCCTTGGATTTTTTCTTGCCGAGAAGTGCGCGATTCGTGAGCCATAATTTCACTATCCACGTTTTCTCGGAGAGCGATGCGCTGTAGTCAAGCCATCGGCGTTGGTCAAGTTTCTTTGCACGCACCTTCGCTTCCACCGTAGCCCTGGAGATGTTGCGTTTGCTTTGGGGGCCTTTCGGCCTGCTGCGGTATTTTGGCCCAGAGCTTCAGAAGGCGGAGATCAGGAGTTGGAGCATGTTCGCCGACGTCTGTTTTGATAGTTATAATTTTCAAGGCGCTTTTGAGGTGGGATTCAAGGCAGGCGTCTTCAAGATCTACGCTGATAAGAGCTTCCTTGAATTTGTCCCAGTGTACGGTTTTAGTCGTACGTTTCTTGACCTTGTCTTTTATCCCCCTCGTTGCTAAAATTTTGAAGCGGATGGGCAAGTGCTCGCTACTTAGGTATCCGAGAGACATCTCCATTTATGATGCTGAGTGTACGGGTTCCTGATCCATGTGAGGTTGGGAGAGGTATCCGACTGTCCGGAACAACCCTATCTTGTTTTGGTTCTTTTCTTGTTTACTAGGTTTACACTGAAGGTTTGAATCTCATCGACAAAGTCTTCCGCACTCAGAGGATCTTGGTTGTAGCCCCACATAGATGGGTGGAAATTAAAATCTCCAGAGTTTTTGATCTTTGTTATATAAATCGTGGAGATGGGTGATTTATAAGTGGGTTCTTGGCTGTGTAGTGTACTTGAGCGTTCTGTAGTAGATGGGCGCTAGGATTATGTTTTGCAGCTGAACCGAGACCCGCACAGACACTATTTCCTGTCCATCGTCGCAATATGGTGTGAGATTGAGAATGTGTTGGGGCCAGTCGCCCCTTACTTAGAGAAGAGCTTTCCCTGGAGAGGAAATCGTTTGAGCTGAGCGTTTGGAGGTAATGGAGGGGCTGGAGGAGTATACCGAGTGTGCATGAGGAATGGTGGCTGCGGTGTTCGTTTCCTTAAGTAGGAGTATATAAGGACTTTCGTCATGTTCATCCATAAGGCGTACTTGGAGTTCTGCCGCCCGTTTGTGGAGCCCCTGGCAGTTCCACTGAAGGACTCGGATCATTTCTCGTTGAGGATTTGGGTTGCTAGTGCCTTCCGCCGCTTAACGGATTCTGAGTACTTCTTGATTTCCTCTTGTCGGGACTGGACTGTGGCTTTAAGCCTTTCGAGCCCTGCTTGAGGAAGCTGCATATGTTGCGGAGCTCTTGTGTGTTTAACCCTTTTATAGGGGCCGGTGGAGATGTCTGGGGTCTCTTCTTTACCTTTTCA